GAATTGTTTATTGCTACTTGTTTTCTTTAATAATCTTCTCTTTCCCTTTCCCTTATCCCTTTATAATTCCTGTCAGGTATTCAAAGGTTGACAGGAAATAAAATGAAATATCTTTATTGGGATCCGCATTGTATTTATTCATTTCTAAAGAACTTTGTATCCTTTAAGTATTTCTAAACAAAAAAGCTTTATATTATAGATAAATAAACTTATATTTTATCTTTAGTTTATTAAAATGAATTTTATTTTTAATGATCCTTCCTTTTTTAGTTAAATCGTCAAAATCCAATGCCAAGCTGATACCCGCTTGCTATTACCCGCTATATTGCTACACCACTAATATGAAGTTATAAACGATTTATTAATTTCATGCATCTCAAGGTTGTGGTAATACTATTTGATAGAAATATAAATATTGTTCTGTCATATAACGTAACAACAATAACAAAAGCATACAACTAATAATATTGTTCTTAGCGAGTGACAGTTGTATTTCTATCATGTCACATTGTCGAACCCTACTGATATCACTAATGTGAAAGTTTGTAAAGATGTTCGTATGTTTAATATTTGATGACGCCTAAAGCGCTGCACAGATTTCCAAATGAGTATTGGTATTTATGTATTTTTCTAGAACTACACAAAGGATGCTTTTTCGTAATACGCGAGGGTAAGAGCATAGCTATAAAAAAATATTATAAATCGTAGGTACTATCTACGATTATCATACGATATCTTACGATACGATCTATTAATTTTATAATTCAGCGAAATATTAAACTTAACTAAAAATTGCACTTTTGATTTATCAAGATCATGTGATAAACCTCTTCCATTTTAATGAAGACTAGGAATATTAAAATGCTTTCTAATTACATTATTAATCTCCATAATCTGATTGCTTGAAACGTAATGTAATATTAAAAAAACAAATACTCCCTTACGCGGGAAGGCCTGTGGCAAACAGCTATAGTTTATAATAAGTGTTTGGAAGGTTTTGCTTACATTTATATTAAGTATACAAACAACGTGTTATGAAAACTTTGTTGAAGCTATTTGTGTTAGGTACCTACATTATATTCTGGTGCGTAGATTGCTACATTCAAATTATAAATTAATATAAATTATGAAAGTTCACTTTTGTGTCGGTCGCTCGTTTAAGTGGAAGTGTATACGGGACGCAACTTTGTTTAGAAATTTTTGCTAACGAAGCGGCATCCATTATGGCTGGTTAACAAAGTTATTACTTACATTACATTGTGTAACAGTTAATTTGAGATTTTTTTGCGTTTAAAATTATATTAAAGTAAATTATACAGTTTTGACAGTAAATTCTATTAAGTGTGTGTATCTTAATGTATATTTTTTTATTTGTATGCGTATTTGTGTTTGTACATGTTATATACATATTTGACTACAACTGTGATATTACAATGCAGTTATTAAATATAAAGGCTTTTTAGGCCAATAAAGATTCACTGATTTTAAATATTACATTTATTTTAACGAATGAATTATTTATATATTAATATGTATAACTCAACAAAAATAATTTTTCTCATTTTTAAGCAGCTTAAGTTTGTTGTTGAAATGTTACCATAACAGCTTTAATAATTAATTGTTAACTATCAACAAGTCACGGCATCACATTGATGCATTACAAATCTTTGAATTTTTCGGCTTGTTCTATAACACGCATATATTATTCACATAAATCTTCCTCTTAAATAACTCTAACTATTGCTGAAACCTGTATTAAAATCCTTAAAAAATATATAAGCGATCAGACAGCGGCGACGACTTTGTTTTATACAGTGCAAAGATAAATGAATCGCAAAAGTACCTTAATCTATATTTACTCATTCATTAATTAGTAGCAAGGTGTTATGAATTAAATGTGTTAGTTTTGATATAAGATAGTAATAAATGTGGTTTAATCATACTGACAAAGCGTTGTATTCCTCATATATAGTAGTATCGATCAAAGGAAACCTTATATATATATATATACGCTCGTGTGTCCCGTAATATGTACCATAATATTTTTAGTAAAGATCTATTTTGAATCCATTCAGTAGTTTTTGCATAAAAAACTTGTAAACTTGAATAGTGGGCCAGGGATTACCACTGGCATAATAGGTCGTGTTAATCGTCGTGAGGTAAGACCAGCGCACAATGCTTTGTAACGCTCTGTGGAGTGTTGGTCGATATCTACTTATTGTCTACTGTGTTTCAGACATGTTATACGTATTGTAGAGACGGGTAGTAATTTGTAGTCGACTTTTTTTAAAGTTGATTTAAAATATCATAGTAATTATAATAGACCTTAAAAAGAACAGTACCTATAAAGAATAGTAAAGAAGGTATTGCACTTTACTTGTAAAATGTGAGAGTGATTTTGTTCGTTATTATTCGTCGTCTCAATCAATTGTCATAAAAGATCTTACTTCTATATGTCTTATTGATTATTACTTATAGGGGTTCATGAAAATATGATTAGTACTAGTCAGATTGTGGGTATGCTCTTCCAGCTTCTAAATATTGAAATGACTTATTAATCATTATCATCGCTTAACGTTTATTAAATTTAATATTGTTTTGTTTCTTAACTCTTAGTTAGATTTAGGCTACTAATTGTAATAGCAACTACCTCAAAAGATTTCAATATAAATAGAAAATACACAGCTGAGTATATAGAACATATAAGAACATAGAAGCAAATGAATACCAAATTTTCATTCAAATCATAGGAATGAGTTTTAATTAAATGGTTTCAATATTAGATTGTATGTGTAATAAACATACATATATAGGTACTGAAAACCCGCCTGTCCTTTAGGCGTCCAGCATACGCAAATAGATTACGTACGAATATGATAATAGTAAAATGTACCTATATATAAATTTCCGGCTCGATGACTCGACGCAATAACATAGACAGCGGGATGGACAAACCCTCCTGCTGTCAATATTTCTTTTCCATTTCGATAAGTAATATCTAGAAGGAAATGTCAGGTACGACACAAAGAGCCATTGAAGCCCGTGAAAGAAAAATAGCCGTCACACGTTACGGACCGTAGATACGAGTATGTCACCACTTGCCTTTTGCATCTCGCTATCTCACACTATGTATTTGTTCAAAAATAGTTGTCAACTTGCTCGCATTTTGTCCGTTTCAGTTTCATTTTGTCGTTTTGACCTTATTGGTTCTTGAGCTGAATTTTAGAAAAGATTGGTAAAGCGATTCGATGCGTTGGTATTCCATCGGCTAAAGGCCTCGCTTCACTGTTCCCTTTCCTCTTCTTTGGATAACTGAAGTTTCAACGAACGGATTGGAAATAAATAGGTCATTCACCTATAAAGACATTTTGGTGTTTTACTTATAAATTGTTTGTCAGTAAAGCTTCGAATTAAATACTAAATTAAATTAAATTATTTTTATGCTCCCGGTAAATTGATGAAGAGAGATGTAAATAAATGTTTCATTTCGATATTATTTATGTATATAATTTTCTGCTAGGCATGTTTGAATAAAATAGAAGGTAAAGTCAATTTTTTTATAAGTTAAAACGGAGTTAAATATTAAAAGATACGAAAAACGTATCTTTTATTATGCCCTAACTAAATTATTAATAACTACTGCCTTGATTCATTGTAGACACTGTAGATGGACAGTTATTTTTTTATTATTTGGAGTGTAAAATACGTTAGATATTAAAATGTTCTCAGTTATGTTTCTTTGACATGAAAGCTTACTTTATTTTCAAAACAATTCATGAAACAAGGGCTACATTTGTTTTAATCTCTAAATACGTCAAAGCTAGTGATATATTTACAGGACGCTCTACTGAAATATTACCATTACGTTACTAAGTGTACATTTTAAATATTGTATTTATAACGAAATTTTTTTGTAATTATTTATGCTATCTTTTGTATCCAACACACTTCCGGCAGAAATACACGTTGTTGAAACATATCCCTTTCATTTTTATTAAACCTAAATAAATATATAAATAATCATATCAAATAATTAGAATGTGCACCATAAATATATAATGTAATGGTATTATTAAAAAGACTACCTATTGCGATCAGAAAGTATAAGTAGAAAAGAAACTAGGCATGTAGGTAGGTATGACATATCCACATGACAGTCCGTGACACCATAATAATACATAATTCATACTATCATAAAACCTGTGCCTCTGAAGGATTATCTATATTCAATTTATCTATAATAGCTACTTTTCAGGAGGAAAAATAAAGCATAGTTTTATTGACTAATCAAACTACGTTTTATTTTTATAAAAATGACACTATAAATGCCAGTAATTGCTATTTTTTATATATTTATTGTATTTGTATTGTAATATTTGTTCGTTTTTTTATGAAATTATGATTTTTGTATTTTAGTAACATAGCCAAAACATATTTTATAATTTTAAAAATAATTTAATTACATATACAGTACAACTTAAAAAATATAATAGTTATTCTGTGAAAAAGACTATTTTCATGTGGCATTGAAGGGAAATTGACCTGTGGACAAAAAAACTGTAAGCAGACCTAATTAGAATATAATACTTTTAGCCATTTTTATGGAAGTGCATTGACAAATAAGCTGGTATTTTATTTATTTATTTATAACTCTTTATTGATCCAAAGAAAAAAACAATATTCATAATGTACAGAAAGGTAGGCTAGGCACAAAAGGTATGTGATAACCGTGGCCTATATACGTGATCATTCACGCGTTACCATTCTGTAGGACTAAAAAGTTAAGCCTTCACAGCCTATAATTTCACTGCCTTACCTCAGCCTTCAATTGAAACAATGAGGTACTTCCGTAATTGACTGTTTAAAAAGTCGGTACTGTAATACATCTTGAACTTACTTGCCGTAAACATAATACAATACATTACATATTTCACATAGCCATCTAATAACTAAAACATTTCTGTAAATAAACATAAACTTAATGGGTATCTCCTTTTCAGGAACGTCGCCCTCCTGGGAGCAATTTGTGAGAGAATCATTAGTGCAGGCTGCGTGGCCAGTGGCACTCGTGGCTCCTCCACGTCGTGCTCTCACTGTGGACCACCAGTGAGTAATTACACACAAATTTTCTTATAAATAACTTCTTTTAATATAATACAGCCGCTTTTTCATAAATTATGACGATTTTGCCGAGAAACGAAACAGTTAAGTTTTAATGTAATTTACGAGTATATAAAATACCTGGTAGCATATTTGTCACACAGTAAAAATATTACTAACGCTCTAGACGGATTCTTCAGATCAGCTGCTGAAATTAAAAAAGTATCAATTTTACTATATAAACCTTGTCATATATTAGCGAGCAAAAAAGTAAACTGTTACCGTAGCCTATAGATGGCTGAAACACCAATGTTTTCACGACCGCGTTGCCGATTCTTAAGAAACCTTAATAGGGTATATTAAGGTTTCTTAATAATCGGCAACGCGGCGACTTAAAAATAATTATGAATACAAAAATATTTTTTTAAATTAAAAGAAGTTCAATTTCATCGAACCAACTGAGGAATCATATGGAAGGAGATTTTTTATAATAAATAAATATTAAATACGGATCACGGAATATTGATTATATATTGGATTGTTTTCTATCTTCGAAATAAAACTACCTTCACATATCGAAGTCAACATTTTTTGTTAAAGGTTTCACAATGGAAATGAGATGAGGGTCATGGGATAAGGGTAATATAACTAAAATATACCGATAAATATTCATTTACATTATTTTTGAGCATTTCAACGAAACTCAAATATTGAAACATTGTATCGTTCATATACTTCCTTGAAATTCAGGTTGTTGTTATGAAGTTATACCCATAAATGAAGAAAGTTTTAATTACGCCAAGCCGGTAACATTCTACAATGTTTCCGAACGGGAAATGTGAAGGAATCGATTGACCAGTTTCTATGATTGAAAAGCAAGTCTAAATATTAATTTTCCCAAACAAAAGTTTAAACAGTTTTGGTATCCGATTCCGAATGTGGATTAAACAATGAAGTTTTTGTAATTGAAATGTTTCACATTTACCCTTTTGTTTATATTAACTTACTTAATTAATTCTGTATTTTCTTAGAACCACTGATCTATGCAAATAATAAAAAGTGACTAGTTTATACATGAAAGATCAAAGAAAAAATATACTACTGGAGATTATCTGTTTAACGGTACATTAGTACGTGTTAATCTTAGAAACCGCTTAACCGATTTGGTTGTGGTTTTCACTTGACTATTGTAGTAACTTTACTTAAAATGTAAGGCTTCTTTGAATAAATAAAAAGTTACATGGAAAAGAAGGCGTATGCCGAGGTAGTAATTAATATGTTATCATTATCAAATCATAAATTGATTTATAATTTAATGAATATTAATAGATAACTGAAGAGTTCTTTAAATTTCAACCACAGTATTCCTTGTAGCAAAGAACTTCTGTACTCCCTATGGCACATAAAATTACTGTGTCCATTAGGGTAACCCTAATAAGCCTGTACAAAAATTGGTCAGGCGTGTTCTGTACAGATAATTTAATTTTAACCCTTGGGGTTAGTGTAAGTCAAGTATGAATTTCAGTTTTGTGCTGGCAGAAATTGGAATGTGTGAAGTCACCCTGTGACGGCAAGATAAAGTAGCGTGGAAGGGTGGAGGGTAGTTTTTTACGCATAATAAAATTATATCGATGGCAGACACGCTTCCTGCCAAGTTCTATTTAAATATATAAAACGAAATATGACTTTGACAATAAACGCCTCTATTTAACCTATTTAGAATAACAGTCGTGAGTTTTTTGTCTATTTGCGTGCTGAGGTATCGCGTAAATACGGCTGGAGAGAGAGAAATTTTCCTATAACATATTATTAAATATGGGACAACAACTCTTCGGAAGGTATTTTAACCTTTTTTTTGTCCATATTTTGATTTGGGTTAAAGAAAACTGAAAAGTACCTCCCAATCAGGAAACCTAATGAATTTTTGTGGTTTTTTTTAAATACGCAACTCAATATTTTTATCTATACAACAATAATAATTATGAATACAAATGTTTGCATCGAACCCGGGACTATCGAAAGTAAAGTGGTGTGCTAAACCAATAGACCATCTTTATGCCCGTCTTAATATAAAGATCATAGTATAGATGCTTCATTTACTTTTATTGTTTAATTATCATCAATAGATCGCGATCTATAAATACACGATTATGAGGTTACTATTACTGTAATATACTACTGTTGTATACCACTAGTTAATAATAAAATTATTGTGAAGAATATCTACTTAACTTATCTATTACAGTTTATATATACATATAATGACTAGCTATGCCCTCGGTTTCACCCATGTTAAATTTCAATTTAAAATATAGTATATGTTATTATGATGCATAAGTAAGCTCAACTTTCATCAAAATCCGTTCAGTAGTTTTTGCTTGAAAGAGTAACAAACACCCATACTTACAAACTTTCGCGTTTATAATATTATATATTAAGATTCAAGTTACATTTTACAGAACATAATTGGGTAATATATTTAATCTAGAAAGTAATAAACTTAACGTCTGACCACTACACTCGTAAAGGCAAGCGCTATTATCGTAAAAACTAAAGCCATACGTGAAAATAACTGTTCATAACAATAAAGTTACTTAGTAATTTTCATATAACTGACATAAAAATGTTTTATATGTAAGTTCATCATATTCTCGTGATCTTAGCTCTGCTTGTAATGTCCTACTAAATATAGAAAATATACAGTGGGAGATTAGAAGTAGAGCGAAGATTTTTGGAATGCATTATCTGTTGACCTCAAAAGTTATCAAACCAATGTAACATTTTTGTAACAATATTCAACTAAATTACTCTCCGTAGATATATTACATTACTTATTATGGTTTAATTTTATATTCAATTTGTGCATAATCCAAATGCATATATTTTATTTTGCTTATTTATTTAAATATATATTTTATAAATATAATTATACATTTATTCATTCATTCAATCATTTATATCTAAATATTATCTATTTTTCAATTGCACTACCTTATTGTGCACTGGTACAAACTACCATCAAGCATTAAATCCGCCATCTGTAGAATTTTGTGTGCAAAAAATAAATCAATATAATCAGATAGTAAGAAGGAATTATTAAAAAAATTATAATAGATTTAAATTAAAATATTTAATTATTACTGTGACAAATAAATATTTAGAAGACCATATTTTATTACTTTTAATAGTATGTATATAATTGGCAATAAAGAAAACTTATAAATTAGAAAAGTGAATAATTTGCTTTAAATATACTTTCAGACCATCTCAAACTTAACATCATATTGTTAGTTCCTTTTGACGTTTATTTTATGCGATTTATTTACATAAAATTTCCCGTTCATAGGAGTAATCTGTCATTGTATTTGATATGTACATATTTATTCGATATATGAGTATCTATTATGATATGCGGGTTTAGATATTGTTACGATACTATTTGATGGATGATTGCATATTTATATACAGCTTATTTTTAAGCTGAATTTGTTATAGACTGATAATATCTTATATACTCATAGAAAGGAATCTTACAATCTTTTTTGTTATAACTTCATGGAGAAATATAACAAAGACGTATTAAAGAGTATTGCATGCATAATGGGCGTACATGAATAATTTTTCCAAGGTAGATTTTGTACAAAGTCCTCTGTTTCGGCACGTCTATTTCAGTTTCTTCTATGTTTCAGTTGTAAGGTAAGATTTAATACTCGTGGTGTAGTGTAAATTCCAATCCAGTTACATCTTCATTACATAGTAGAAAACAAAGTCGCTTTCATTTTTGTTTGTTGTGCATTGTATGTTTAAATCTTTAAAACTACACAACGGATTTTGAAGCGATTTTTTTAATAGATAGAGTGATTCAAGAGGAAGGTTTAAGTGTATACATGTACACCCGGACAAAGCCGGGGCGAGTAGCTAGTTAAGTATAAAACGAAGTACCCGCTGCTGTCTGTTCGCTTATATCTATTAAATTATGCAACGAACTTTAATGTAATATTCAAAAATAGATGGGGATGGGGGGATGACTCAATGCAAGGTTTATATATATATTTAAATAGTCATAAGAAACTGTTAATTATATATATAAAACCGTTATATAATTTTCTGATATAAACACAAACCTACAGACATTTTGAACATGACTAACGTAGATAAAGTATTTACTGAGATATACCATAATCAACGGTACCTTACCTTAACTGCAACCCAAGATATGACTATTTTAGTTTCGTAGAGGCCTATCTCAAAGGGCTTTCAATAAGATAAGCACGTATTTTGGCGACCTCGAGATAGAGCCCACTGTACCCTGCATAGTTTGTGGTTCATTTACCCTTGTTAATTTTTAAGAGGTTTAAACCTTCATTTTAATAAGTAATAATGTTTGGAATTACCTTACATAATTGTTAGTAAGGGTGAAGTTATTAATATGCTTAATGATTTTTAACTTTTCGCGTTTTAGACATCATCAATAGAGATCATTGTTATTTTTACATTTTTAGAGAATTGACGACTTATTTGCGATAAAATTAGTCGTGTTAAGACTTGTCGTGTCAGCAAATATGCTTGGTCAAATGTGGATATGTTAAGTGTTCTGTTTTTATTACGACGTCGATACTTACCAATGTCTCTGGCTACTCCATCTAATATAACAGTCGTGACGGTACGACATGTGCGTATACAAGTTGATATTAGCATCATGAAGTAATGGAAATGTTTACTTTTTTATTTGTAATTACTACGCTTGTAAATTCTACATCGCCGTGATTGTTATGGACTTAACATATGAAATAGTATAATGACTACATATTTCATGATAAAAAGATGTTTTTGTGTTAACAAAAAGCTATTAATCAAACCGCAAGTCTATAACGAGTATTAAGGGCTGTACCATAATTCCGCTAAAATATAAAAGTTGAACAAAGGACTTGCAAATTGTCGGCGCACTTTGAAATGTTTTTCATTGTAGAACGGCTATTTTCATGGTCCATATATGAAGGCACTCT